GGATGATTGAGAATCTCCACGGACCTACACTGGTGAACTGAGCCATTTCATCTTTTCATCCTTTGGTGACCTAGATACACTAACCCAGGGGTAGGCAACCTTGGCTCTTTTATGACTCGTGGACTTCAACTCCCAGAATCCCTGAGCCAGCATGGCTCAGCTTGGAAACCTGTCCCTTTCCCCTCAGCATAGCTGGCTCAGGAATTCTGGGAGTTGAAGTCCATAAGTCATAAAAGAGCCAAGGTCGCCTGCCCCTGGTCTAGATGATAGGAAGCTTGGTTCTTTTATGACTGGTGGACTTCAACTCCCAGAATTCCTGAGCCAGCCATGCTGAGGGGAAAGGGAGAGGTTTCCAAGCTGAGCCATGCTGGCTCAGGAATTCTGGGAACTGAAGTCCACGAGTCATAAAAGAGCCAAGGTTGCCTACCCCTGCACTAACCACATCCACATGTCCTCGAAGTGGCTTGTCTTTCTTCATCCCTAAAGTTACTGAAGAATTCCTTGTTGGCCTCGATCAGGCCCGTCCAACACGTGGCCCACCAAGCAATCTTGTACAGAAAGTCAATGAATTCACTGGCACCACTGTCATCCTCAAAAGACCTCCAGCCTTCACTACCCAACCTCAGCTTCCCTCCTGCCACCAAACTGGTGATGGACGTGCCAAGGCTTAATCTGCAGCTCACAAGGATTTTTAATTTAACTTGAAGGTCTCCTTCCCTCTTCCGGTTTTACAGGCTTGCCCTGGAGGATATTCAGACGACGTCATCCCTGCCCAGAAGTGAATGAACACTGTATGGCCTTCTAATTCTACTGGATTTTTTCTCCCCTTTATCTTTCAATGACAAAAATGCCTCCGTCTCTACACAGCTGGTTGCCTACTTTCGGGGGATGCTGGCTTGTGCAGGGTTTGCAAACAGGAATGTTCTCTCCAAATGGGAATAGGGTTCTCAGCCAATTCCTGATAAAGAGATTACGGATTTCTGTCTTCCACTGATTTCCCATCCCATCACCAAGTTTCCCTGGGTAATGAACAAATTAAAGTAGTTGAAAAAAACGACGACAATGGAAATCTAGTAAAAAAAATCACGATCCGATCACAGCATCACTCTAAAACCCAGCAGCGGAACAGAGGAGAGAGAAACGCATTCAACCAAAGAGCAAATTGACTGGAAGCTGTAACGTTCCCTGGGCTCAAGACACAATGTGGCTCGGAAGATTAAAATGTTTCAGAACTTTAAGCCAGTTTTAGAGAGCATTGTAAAAAGCTCGGGCAGGGCATGACACATCTTGCAGTGTTAGGAGGCACTTTCCAGAAGATCTTCCTTTTGACTGCATTAATCTCTCCTATGGACAGTTGTCACACAGTTGTCTGCTTGTGTGTACACAGTTCTCTTTCTAAAATAGTTTCAGTTCTCTTTGTATGCCTACAAAATCTGGTCCAGAGGGTTTGAGGCCTTATCAAAGCAAGCACGTGCCCACCATATAACACTGGATGTCGCTCACTGGTGAGACCATTCAGTTGAAGATCACAGTTAAAGAGTTAGCTTTGAGGTCCAGCAAAAGAGTCTTTTCTGCCCTGGCTACCACCCTCTGGAACCTCATGTTCCCCCCCCCCAGTGAGATCTACACCCATCTTTTGGTCTAAAAGGGCCTGAAACCCGGGTTCTGCCAATTGGCTTCGGACCCCGATACACTGAAGGTGGTTCATGAACTTAGATAGGACCACTGTTTTTTTTGTTTAAAAAAAAAAAAAGGTGCCAGAACTCACACACGTCATACAACCCGCCTTGCCTACCCTACAAGGTTCCATCCAAAAAAGGTTCCGGAACTCCATTCTGGGCATTCTATGACAAAAAAAAAAGCCCTGGATAAGACCCTACCCCTTCCCCATGTGTATTTAGTTCCCTTCCTTGCCACTTTTGTTAATTTTTAAGTCAGTTTCCACGTTAATATTATTTTAATGATTTCTTGTATTGTTTTTATTTGGTTGTAAGCATCAGGAGAAAGAGCGGCAAGGTCTGGAGGTGGCAGAGTTTGCTTCTGATTCTAGGCTGATCCCTCTTTTAACCCCATCCCCAGATGTTGCCACTCTCCTACGCTTACCACCAAATAAAAGCAACATGAGAGAAGGTTACAATAATATGAATGTTAAAGTATAATGTTAAAACTGATGTTAAAAAGATTACATCAGGTTTCTAAGATGATCCCGTTTTAAATCCTGCCACTCCTTCTCCTACAGTAAGAAAGCCCAGAGAGTTGTCTCTAGGCAAAATGGGGGAGGGAAGCATACAAATTTAATAAATAAACGAAGACTTTAGACCTGTTAAATCTCTGCATCAATGTTTTTTTTTCCCCAGCTCGCAATATTCTCTAGGTCAGGGGTAGGCAACCTTGGCTCTTTTATGACTCGTGGACTTCAACTCCCAGAATTCCTGAGCCAGCCATGCTGAGAGGAAAGGGAGAGGTTTCCATGCTTAGCCCTGCTGGCTCAGGAATTCTGGGAGTTGAAGTCCACGAGTCATAAAAGAGCCAAGGTTGCCTATCCCTGCTCTAGATGGTTAATGAGTCAGCTGAAAAAGTTGGGAATCTTGTTCCTTAAAAAAAAAAATCCAATATATTTCACGAGCTACAAAGTTTATACATGTAAGGAATTCTTCCACCTCACTATCAAGTGCACTAGGCCTGTGTTGAATGGCCTGCTTAGCTGAGTTACTCAATTCATCTCTTCTTCTGAGTAGGTCACACCATACGTCAAGCTATAAACTAAGGGTAGGTCAAGTGGGCTTGCATAATGTACTAAACCACAATAAAATAAAATATCCAAGCTTTAACTTAACCCAGCTTGCCCTATTATGCAAGAGGTGTGTGTACATCTCATAGTTTCAAGGGCAGACTATTCTGTTCTTTTCCAGAACGTTCTGTTTTCCTCCTGCTCTGGTCTGCCTGGGGGAAACTTCTTTTCTGGAAGGAATTGTTCTGGAACAGGAAATAAATCTGAAACGATAGCGTTCCCCTTCCTTATAAAATGCACCTATTAGATCATTTACTGACCCATGGAAAGATTTTGTGGGGATGCCATTAATACGAGTCAGTCTGAGCTTCAATCCTCCTGGTCAAAACAATTTCTAAAATAGTTTAGAGCTTTCTCACATTTGGACCTAATATTGTTGCAGCAAATTTTATTTCATTCTGTCACACAATGAATGACTCGTAGGAAGTTCTCCATTTGGGTATTCTTTCTTCCCTGGAATAAGCATCTGCATAAAATAAACAGCTAAATCAATAAACAAATACACCATGCCTTCTGGAAATCAAAATGTCAGTATCTGCATTGTTTCAGTTCCCAATCCCTTTTTTTTTTCAGTTTCAAGAAACCAAACCACAAAGAGTCAGCGTAATTTATTGCTGGGACAACAATTTACCAAATAAATGGCTGAACTATGGTTTTCCTGTTTCCCACTTTTAATCACAACCGAGAGAGCCAGATCATCAGCCAAACTCATTGTACTGACCTCTATTTGATTCACATTAAATGGTGTTTCAGAACTTTCAGAACTTCAACCTGAATGACAGCAGAACAACCCTGAATTCAACTAGCCTGATTTAACAGACAGATGAATCAATAGAATCCTGCGGGCCTCAGACACAGATTTAGCAGATGGCTTGGGCCACCTGATCACATTCAATCTGTCATTTTATAAACATCAGAACTAAACTCAACAGCTGGGATACAGATGGGAAAGTCCTATGGATACAACAGGTAAATATGCACAAATTTGAACTTGCATAACATCTCACTGCAAAAAAAAAAAACCAAAACAAAACAAAAAAAAACACCCAAAAAACTGGCTAGTGATCCCAGCTAACAAAACACAGCAGCCAACCAACAAAAAATGGGAAATTTTAGAAGAATGTTATAAAGGTAGAAGTCCTATATCCCAACTTCTTCCAGCCTGGGACATTATAAATGTGTTCCAGCTCTATAAATGCCTAATATTAACGAACAGCAAAATAATACGGGTGTCGAAGTTCCAGAAAGCTAGAAGGGAACTGACAAACACACGGCAGCACTTGGGGAAGAGTCCTGTAAATTGAATGAGGATGACTTTACTTTTCGTGTAAAAGTATATTCTACTTGTCATATATAAAGCTATTCTCAAAACAGCTCTTCTTCTGCTTGATGAACTCTGCTGAATAATTGATCAAATACTATAGAGACCCAATGCAGCACTGAATGAGAACTCAGAGGAGAGGGAATTAGGTGACATTATCCAGGGACACCAAAATAACCTCCCTCCTTTCTCAGAGTCTGGATCTGTGCACACTCCGATGCAACTACAGATTCCTCCTGGTTGCATTGAAAAATATTTTGAGAGAGGACATATAGGGAGATTTGGACAGGCACTGCATCTAGGTGCCCAGATTACAGCAGCTGTATTTGGTGTAGGAATACTGTGCTCAGCTGGGAATCTACAGGGGATTTCTCCACAATGATCTGGCAATCCAGAAGCAGGAAGCACAACAAGGGTTGACCTTGTGTATATTTCCTTGGCCATCTGTAAAAGAAGGATGGGACGCCAGAATGTTTTGTGGCTTTCCTCTCCATTCTGATGCTCCCTGTGGATGCTGGACCTTCAACTCGACTTAGGAAAAATGAGATTCAAGAGGAATGCTATCCTAAGAGGTCTCTTTCCCTCTGATGAACTAGTGCTACCAACCACACTTGCTTTTGTGAAGGACATTGTTTTCAGGAGTCACCATCCATATCACAGAGGGAAGAGCATCTCTGTTGTGTTTTGCACAAGGACCTCTCCTTACCATCACCACAGACAAAGGTCTCAGAATCCTACACATCTTAGGCAGGACACGCAATAGTGTGTCCTGGTTAGGTCTGGTCTAGCAATGATCGGCTACTGCTTCCAACTAATCCTGAGTAGGAGGTGAACCAACTTGCCCAACTGGGGGTGGGGGGTTGGGGAGAAGGAATCCACAAGAAATACCTGGTAGATGGAGATCACCACCTGTCTGGGGATGAAGGTCTGCATGATGAGCTGCAGGAGGGAGGTGACCAAGCCAGCCAAAATAGCCCAGGTGAGGGGCAGAGGGAGCATGCTGTAGGTGGCGAAGAGAGTGAAGAGCACGTAGCCAATGCCATCGCCAAGGAGACCACAACCCAAGCCCGCAGCCAAGATTTGGGTGGCCATCGCCACCCAGGTGACCACACCACTGTACTGCAGGTAGGTGTAAGAGGTTGTGTCCTTCCTGACCACCACTAAGGCACAGATGACCACTTCGATGCCTGTGAAGAAACCCAGCAGAATGCCCTTGACGGGGTCCATGGGGGCCAAGGCCAAGGTCAGGTGGAGCAACAGGAGAGTCAGTTTGGTGAGCACATCCAAGATGTTCACCACCACTTCCGACTTCCGCCTCTGGCCCAGGAAGTAGCGCTGGTAAAGGCGCTCCAGGTCCCGAGACTTGAAGGAGTTGCGTAAGGTGGGGAAGATCACACCCCGGTAAGTGTAACCCCAATTCAGGAAGAAATCGGAGTTGCTGGGAGCACAATCCAGGTGCAGGAAGCCCAGATCGCCACCGCTGCTGCTGCGCTCGGGGAAGACTTTGGTGCCCCCGTTGTTGTGGCCACTGAGGCTCTTGCCCGCGGACTGGCGCCGGGACGGATGGCTGTGATTGGGGCAGCAGGGCTCTTCGGAGCCCAGGGCTTTGCCACCACTGCAGTGTTCTTGAATGAAGCGCTGCTCCGTGATATGGCGCACGGCGGTCTGCCACAGCAGGCGTTGGGAGCGGGCCCCATCACTAGGGGGCGTCTGGTTGATGGTGTACAACTCATCGCTGTCACTCAAGCAACGTACCTCGGACAGCTCCATCGTGGGTGGGGGTCGGAGCAGGAGGAGGGAGGTCCTGTCACATTGAAAGGCAGCTGGTTTCCCCCCCCCACCTCTTTGGCAGGGGGATCAAAGGTCAATCAGTGGCGGCAGAAGACAGAGGGCTCCCCATGCCTTCCTTGGCACTGGATATACCTCGGCAGCAAGGCAGGGCTTCGCCAACTGCATCCCCTTCAGCTTCCAGGTGAAGAGCGGGCAGGAAGGCGCCGGAAGTCTGGTTAAGTGGAATCAAAGCCAGAGGCCTCCCAAGTCCTCCCCAAGAACTTCCATGGAGCCTACAGACGAAGTTAGAGAAGGCCACAAACCCCCGGGCACCCTTGGGAATGTTGGAAGAGGGAGATGCCCAAAGAGGACAGTTTGGAAGCTCCCATTCCGAGCCAGCCCCGTCCTTCTTTCTCTTGGCAGCTCTCCAAGTTTCAGCCCGAAGGATTTCCCATCTTTTCAGTTCTTTCAGTTCCTTCCTTAGAACGAAGCCAAGACACTTGAGGAAAAGAGAAAGTGCCTATCTAGGCAGCCGAAAAGGTTTTTTTTTTTTCAAGCACAGGCGGGGAGATGAACGGTTATAGGAAGCGCAGGCAACTTCTCCAGCGCAGGAAGTTAGGGGGGGGGCTTAGGAGAGAGGTGGGCAGGAGACCACCCGGCGATCTCCGAGTCTAGACAAGCGCAACGGGGAAGCCTAGATAGAGGCGGCTGCAGCTGCGGGCATCTCGGCCGTTGCCCCAAAGCGGCGACATCGGTCCAGCGAGGGGACAGGAGGGAGGGCTCGGATGAGCGGCGGCGGGGACCGACGGACGAAAGCAAACGGCCGCGGTCGAGGCGGTGGAGCCCAAGCGAGGCCGGCGGAGGCTCTCTCGGCGCCTTCCGTGCCACGGACCGGCAGGCAGGCGGGCGGGCGGGCGAGCAGCTCAAGGCAGGCGGCCGGAGGGCTGACTCTCTCGGGCTCGGAGCATCATCGCCGGAGGCGCGTCCCGACAGCCCCGCCGCGATCGCCCCCCGAGACCGCCGCTGCACCGGACGGGCAGGACGCCAGGACTTTTCCTTTTCTTTCGGGAGATCTTGAAGCGAGGCATGACCCGGAGGGGGGGAGAGTGGAAAGCAGACGCGGGGCGACGAGGCTGGATCCGCGCTCCGCGGGGCTACTTGGCCGCTTTGCCCGCAGCCGGAGAGTCACCGGCGGCGGAGGGATGCATCGCCGGCTGCCGCCACCCGCCGCCCTCCGTCCCGACGGCCGTCCTCTCGGAGCTCCCACGCCGCGGATGGGCCAGCCGGCTCCCCCGGGCACACGCCGCGGCCGCCCCGCGCGCCTCCCCCGGACGCCGGGCTGCCCTTCCGCGGAGGAGGAGGAGGAGGCGGCGGCGGCGGCGGAGAAGCCGAGGGAGCCTCCCCGGGCAAGACCGACGAGGCAGCTTCGTCCCCGGCACACACTTGCCTCGGTTCCCCGGCTCGCCAAAGTTGCTGCGCGCTCCGGGTCTCGCCTCTCCGTCTCCTCCGCTCGGCCAGGCGCGGCTGCCGGCCAGGCGCGGCTTCTGCTCCGGCTCCTGCAGCCCGACACGGCCGGTGCTCCCTGGCGGGCGAAATCCGAGCCGGCGCAGGGACGATTCGGCCGGGTTTCTCCTCGCCCAGCCGCCGCTTCGCCTGGGAAGGGCAGAACCCGGCGCGGTCAGCTGATGGCCCGGGTGACGTCAGGCTCTCGCCTCGGCTCCCCTGGGCGCCCACTTAAAGAAGCCCCAGCCTCCTGCCGCTCCCCCCCCCCCCACAAAAAAAATCCGGTCGGAGCTGAAGAAGCTTCTTGCCTGAGCAGCGAAACGTCTTCCGAGAAAAAACAAGACCCGAGTCAGGCCAGTTGCCTGGTGAAAAAAAAAAAAAAAAGCAGCTTTGGGAAAAGTACCAGCCTCCTTTTTCTCTCTCTCGCCCCCCCCCGCCGCTCCCCTCCCCAGCAAAGGAGCGACGGCCTGCCCGCGGCGCCTGCAGGAGTCGGTTCACACGTGCTCCGTCACACGCGCCCAGCACCTGCGGCTGGCCAGCAACTCGGGCGAGGAGGCTCAGCCCGCGAAGAGATTGCCAAACGCGCAGGCGCGCAAACTTGGTCTCTTGGCTTTTTGGGGTAAGCTGCAGAAGAGACGTTTGGGAGGGGGGGGGGTTTAGTGTGCAGAAGGAGGGGGAGAAAAAAAAAAACTCGATCCGAGCTGGAACCGGTTCAGTTCAAGGCGGTCAGCAGCTTGGAAACGAGGCTCTCCGGAGAGAGAATGCGGAATTGGGTATGGTTAGTCCTGAGTGAACTTGACCATGCTTTTTTGGACTGATGTGAAAGATGGCAAAGAGCTCAATTATTCCGGGGCCCAGAGGACCCAGACTCGGGGAACTTAAATTACAGAGAAGCAGATTCTGAGTGAGTAGAAGTGTCTTCACAACAGGAAGAACAGTTTGAGACCAGTTTTCCAGCGATGGGGGCCTTCCTTGGTTAGGAGCAGGCCATCCATCCATCCATGCATCCATGGAGCAGGCCATCCATCCATCCATGCATCCATGGAGCAGGCCATGCATGCATGCATCCATCCATCCATCCATCCAGGATGCTTTAATTTGGATTCTTGCATTGAGCAGATCTTAGACTTTATGGCCAGCGCATATCCCCAAAGCAATATCCAGGACAATATTAGGATTAGTTTGGAAATACAGACCCGAACCATGAAGAATAAATTTCAATAGACGTGCATTGTTTACTGTGCTGTGTTAAGCCACATTTGCTTGTGTTTGCAATGCACCTTAAACCATACTCCAGTTTTCTAAGATGCCAACAAGTCAAGTGGGTGGCTTTGGGAGAACCATAAATACAGGAAGTGAGTCCTAAGCTGAGTCATTTTCTTCCTCTCCCCTTGGATCATAAGGACAGGAGCCACACCCTGCTGGATCAGACTCCTGGCCCATCGAGTTCAACAGTCTGTTCCCCGGTGGCCACCCAAGAGCATAAAGAAGCCTGCTAGGCTCCTAGCAAATGGCCTTTGCAGTATCCATCCCCTAACTGAGAACCAGTTTCGTGTAGTGCAGGGGTAGGCAGTCTTGGCTCTTTTATGACTCGTGGATTTCAACTCCCAGAATTCCTGAGCATGGCTGGCTCAGGAATTCTGGGAGTTGAAGTCCACGAGTCATAAAAGAGACAAGGTTGCCTACCCCTGGTGTAGTGGTTAAGGCATCAGACCAAAACTAGGAGACGGTGAGTTCTGGTCCTCCCATAGATGTGAAAACTGGCCAACTCTGAACCAGTCACTGTCTCTCACTCTGAGGGTTATTGTTGGGGAAAAGAGGTGGGGAACATTATGTGCAAAATACAAATAGAGATTTAATAAGTAATTCTGGAGCGAGAGGGGGGAGGGAGGGAGGGAGAGAAAGAGCAGTTTTGGTTTCACTGCTTCTCAAATTGCTTCCTTTGTTACCAAAAACCATTTATCAAAAAGTCCTTACTTAAATGTCCCTGTTGAGATTGGATAATGGGCCAGTGTGCCATTACCCAAAGGAAAAATAGTTTTACCCAATTTGGGGTAGTTTACCTAAATGGTCTACCTGAAGGGATGATCTAAAACTGTTTTTGGAAAGGTTTGAAGCTGAAAAAAGTAAAATTAACTCTTAAACAAACAGTCCCTCCTTCCTTCCTTCCTTCCCCTCCCTCCCTCCCTCCCTCCCTCCCTCCCTTTCCTGCACCAGAGGGCAGGACATGAAGTAATGGGTGGAAGCTTGTTAAAGAGAGATCCAACCTAAAAGTAAGGAGAAATTTACTGATAGTGAGAACATTTAATCAATGGAATAATTTGCCTCCTGGAGTCATAGGCGTTCCATCACTGGAGGTGTTCAAAAATAGACTGGACAATGATTTGATCAGAATGGTATCAGATCTCCTGCCATGAGAAGGGGGTTGGACTAGAACAGGGGTGTCAAACTTGCTGCGTCACGTGACGTGTCGCGACATACTGCAACTTTTTTCCCTTTGCAGGAGCTGGGATGGGCACAGCTTCCATGTGATACATTGGCCCACCTGCCAGCAGTTTGACACCCCTGGACTAGAAGACCTCTTAGGCTCTGGTCCATGGAAAAACCTTTCTCCAGGGCACCGGTCCCTGGTGCCCAAAAGGTTAGGGACCTCTGTCCTAGAACATGCTACAGCAGGGGTGTCAAACTGCTGGTTGCATCCCAGCTCCGGCAATGCAAAAAAGATCGTGATACGTCATGACACGTCACATGACACGGTGAGTTTGACACCTGTGTGCTACAGCCTTGAAATATTAAGTATTAACCAGCCCTGACTCTGCTTTTGCTTGGCCAAGGGATTGACAAACCTGTTGAAGCCAATATTGATCACCGGAAGGAGTTTAAGAATGTTAAACCAGATCAATTCTCTACTCCCTTCAGTATGAAACATTTTAGCTAATGTTTAGCTAAGTTTCCCAGGTTGTTTTTGGCTGGGCAGAATGAAAACACTTTCTTCAGGTATCTTGCTTTAGAACAAGCCCCTTCTGTTAGCTTCATACCCACCTCAAGTGAACAAGGATTGGTTTTCCATAAACGCTGCTTAGAGAGCATTAGCTGTCTGTGTAATTTGCATATTCTACCCTGCATAATATACCTCCAGAATTAAAGCCGCGGTTTTATTTGGTTGCTTTTTGGGAAAGAGCCACCAGGAATTGTGGACCTCCAGCCGTTCTTAAAACGATGTTCTTACTGCTTCAGTAAGACAAGGGGTTAAACACTGCAAACAACGTGCAGCATATTGCAGATTAAAAACAAAGCAGAGTGATAGAATCAATGACAGTATGCTAGAAGCATTCCCAATTTGATTAGGCTTCTTGGAGCAGAAGACCTCTTACGCCTGGTCTGGTCCAATTGGCCAATATTGGAGCAGTGACATCCTTCAAAGGGAGACAAGACAAAGGATACCCCTGGGATTGGAAGAAAGGTAGTTTAGACGACAGCCCACATCTGTGCAGACGGCACGAAAATAATGCCAACATCCCAAATACTGCAGCCGATTTTGGTCACCATATCACAAAAAAGATGTTGAGAGTTTGGAAAAAAAAAATCAGAGAAGAGCAACTAAGATGATCAAAGGCCTGGAAACTAAAACATATGAAGAACGGCTGCAGGGCTTGGGTTCGGCTAGTCTAAAGCAAAGAAGAAATAGGGGAGACATGATAGCAGTGTTCCAGTATCTGAGGGGCTGCCACAAGGCAGAGGGGGCCAGGTTGTTCACCAAAGCACCAGAGGGAAGGACGAGAAACAATGGTTGGAAACTGATCAAAGAGAGAAGCAACCTGGAATTAAGGAGAAACTTCCTGACAGTGAGGACGATCAACCAGTGGAAGAGCTTTACCTTCAGAAATCGTGGATGCTCCATCACTGGAAATTTTCAAGAAGAGACTGGACATTCAGCTGTCTGAGATGGTGTAGGTTTTTCTGCTTGAGTTGGGGGCTGGACTAGAAGACCTCTAAGCTCCCTTTCAGCTTCTATTCTCTTCTCTTCTCTTCTCTTCTATTCTATTCTATTCTATTCTATTCTATTCTATTCTATTCTATTCTATTCTATTCTATTCTATTCTATTCGACTCGACTCGACTCGATCTATTCTACTCTATTCTCTGTCACTAAGCCACAACACTGGTCCAGAGAAAAGAGGGAACGCTGCAAGAAAGCATTATCTACCAATAAAGGAGAATACTTGTAACTCAGGGTTGAAATGAGGGGTCCTTGCATGTTCTCTGAGCTTGCCTGAAAACAAGCAAGCTCAGAGAGCACCAAGGGCCCCCTCAAAGCATTATCTGCTTTTCTTCTGAGCTCTGAACCCCGTTTTTTAGAGGGAGGAAGTTTTCCAACCTGTTATTCTGAGCTGATCAGAGGACCAGAGAGTTGGAAGGACATACTTAGACCTTTGCTGGCAATCTCTAGGTGACATGATTGGCATACAAGTCAAATAAACAAACACCTCTGCTTTTTAGCAGAAGGACCCAAATGCAGCATCCAGGAAATTTAAGATGGGACCTTTGAATCTGATCAGTTGAAATTATTCCCCCCCCATTTGGAAATGACACTTATGGTGATGCAGTCCTGCTTGCATTTTTTTTAAAAAATAGCCATGGCACCAAAATACAGATATTTGGGGAGGAGGTCCAGATTTGGATATTTAATTTGAAGGAGGTTTGATGGAGTCTCTGAGGGAAAAAAACTGGGATATCAATTTCAATTGTTGAATTGAACAAAATGTTTTCAAATGGTTTCTTGATGTACAGGTAGGTACAAGAATTTTTTTTAAAGGAAATCAGTTTTAGAGGACCAGTTCAAATCAGTCTGATCGTTCAGTTTGGATGGCCGAACAGAATCGGATGGATTTCTCAAACTGAATCAATATGATAAATATAGACTAAGATATAAATAGAGGTAGGAGCAGAGATATGTGTCGCTTTGAATGTTTGAACAACAAAAGAAGACACGGTAGATGTTTATAAAATTTACGAATCTGTGCAAAATGCCGATTCTGGGATGTTTGTGGAGAAAATACAGATAGGGATGTTTTTCTTCCTGTTTCATAAAAAACAAGAATCATCCACCTGAAGCTGGATTAGGCTATGGGAAAGATTCAAGGCAGACCAAAGAACCATTTCTGTGCACGAAACAAGGATTTGTTGCATTAGGTTAAAATAGATCTGCTCTAAAAAAAGAAGATTTACAACATCCTATGTGGATAGTCAGAGAATTACGCCTCAGTCGGGAGCTGAATTACAGTTATGAAGCAAGCGGTTGTTGTGCCCAATTTTACAACCTTTTCTTGCCATGGATTATTGAGCAAATCACAATTGTATAGTGCTGGGGTAGGCAACCTTGGCTCTTTTATGACTGGTGGACTTCAGCTCCCAGAATTCCTGAGCCAGCATAGCTAAGCATGGAAACCTCTCCCTTTCCCCTCAGCATGGCTGGCTCAGTAATTCTGGGAGTTGAAGTCCACCAGTCATAAAAGAGCCAAGGTCGCCTGCCCCTGGCCTAGATGATAGGAAGCTTGGTTCTTTTATGATTCGTGGACTTCAACTCCCAGAATTACTGAGCCAACATGGCTCAGCTTGGAAACCTCTCCCTTTCCCCTCAGCGTGGCTGGCTCAGGAATTCTGGGAGTTGAAGTCCACGATTCATAAAAGAGCCAAGGTTGCCTACTTCTGGTATAGTGAATCACATGGTCATTAAGCAAATCCAGCTTCCCACATTGACTTTGCTTGTTGGGAAAGCTGTGAAGGTTGCAAATGGGGATCACATGATCTGGGAAATGTTATAAATACATGCTGGCTGACAAGCACCCAAATTTTGACTACGTGACTATGGGGATGCTGTGAAGTTTGTAAGTGTGAAGACTGAACGGTCATTAAAGGAATCATTTTAAGTCAAAGACTACATACAGGCAGTCCTCAACTTACAATAGTTTATTTAGCGACTGTTCAAAGCTACAATGGCACTGAAAAATGTGACTTATGACCATTTTTAACACCTACGACCTTCGGTTAAAAAAGAAAAAGCAGAAATATCCCCCCAATCTATCCATAGGGAAGAGAGAGGTGGGCAGCTGCTCAGAATGTTACTGACACTTTCACTGTAAACTTCTTTATTCACTCTTGGTCACATGACTATTATGAAAGGTTTTGGAAGATTCTCTCCCTCTCCCTTTCTTTCACACACAGACATGCGGACACAAGACAAGAAACATTTGGTGGAAACTAACCAAGGAGAGAAGCAACCTGGAATTAAGGAGAAACTTCCTAACAGTGAGAGCAATTAGCCAGTGGAACAACCTGCCTCCAGAAATCGTGGGTGCTCCATCACTGGAGGTTTTTAAGAAGATACTAGACAGCCACTTGTCTGAGATGGTATAGGCTCTCCTGCTTGAGCAGGGGGCTGGACTAGAAGACCTCCAAGGTCCCTTCCAGCTCTGTTCTGATTGATTGGTTGATAACTTTGTTTCTTTTACAATCCATTATTTATTTGTCAAAACTATGGTTTTCCCAGTAGTAATGTACTGTATGGCTGTGAGAGTTGGACCATAAACAAGGAAGGCTGAACACCGAAGTATTGATGCTTTAAAACTGTGGTTTTGCAGAAGACACTTGAAGAGTCCCTTGGACTGTAAGGAGATCCAATCAGCCAATCCTAAAAGAAATCAACCTTTACTGCTCTTTGGAAGGTGAAGCTGAAGCTCAGATTCTTTGGCCACCAAGTGAGAAAAGAGGACTCTGGAAAAGGCTGAAGGCAAAGGAGAAGGGGACAGCAGAGATAGTTAGATAGTGTCATTGACACAATAATCATGAGTTTTGGCAAACTCCAGAAGATAGTGGAGGATGGGGGGCGGTTGGTGTGCTTTAGTCCATGAGGTCACAAAGAATCTGACATGACTTAGTGACTGAACAACATTTATTTATGTATTAAATGTATGTGGCAACCCATCTTACTGGAACATGACTCTGAGTGGCGTGTCCAGTTAAGACACCATTGAAGACACACAACCTGCCTCCAGAAGCGGTGAATGCTCCAACACTGGAATTTTTTTAGAAGAGACTGGACAGCCATTTGTCTGAAATGGTGTAGGGTTCCTGCCTGAGCAGGGGGTTGGACTCGATGACTTCCAGGGTCCCTTCCAACTTTATTATTATTATTATTGATCATCGCACAGTCAGCCAGATGTTCAGACTGGATTTGGCATTTTGTCTACCTATCGAGTCCTTACCCAGGACCTGGGATAGGCAGATGTGGATGTTTGATGGTATTACAGATATCGTCGCAGGATAGAAGCAGTTCCTAGTAAGGCCACCTTTTGCAATTGACTAATAGCAAATTTGTCAATGCCAATGGTGTTTAAGTGGTACTCCAGTTGTTTTGGGATTGCACCCAAGGCGCCTGACTATTGGTACTACCCTTGCTTGCTTTTGCCACAGTCTTTCTATTTGTAGGTCTTTGTATTTTGTTATCTTCTCCAGTTCTTTCTTGTCTATTCTGCTATCTCCAGGCACTGCCACGTCCACTATCCAGACTTTTTTGTCTTTCTTATCGACAATTGTTAAATCTGGGGTGTTATGTTGCAGGTGCTTCTCTGTTTGAATTCTGAAGTCCCAGAGCAGTTTAATTTTATCATTTTCTATGACTTTCTCTATTTTATGATCCCACCAGTTTTTGCTTACAGGCAAATGATATTTTTTGCAGATCTTCCAATGCATCATTGTTGCTACTTTGTCATGCCATTATTATTATTATTATTATTATTATTATTATTATTATTATTGATCATCGCACAGTCAGACAGATGTTCAGACTGGATTTGGCATTTTGTCTAGCTATCGAGTCCTTACCCAGGACCTGGGATAGGTAGATGTGGATGTTTGATGGTATTACAGATATCGTCACAGGATGGAAGCAGTTCCTAATAAGGCTGCCTTTTGCAATTGACTAATAGCGAATTTGTCAATGCCAATTGTGTTCAAGTGGTGCTCCAGTTGTTTAGGGATTGCACCCAAGGAGCCTATGACTATTGGTACTACTCTTGCTTGCTTTTGCCACAGTCTTTCTATTTCTATTTGTAGGTCTTTGTATTTTGTTATCTTCTCCAGTTCTTTCTCTTCTATTCTGCTATCTCCAGGCACTGCCACGTCCACTATCCAGACTTTTTTGTCTTTCTTATCGACAATTGTTAAGTCTGGGGTGTTATGTTGCAGGTGCTTGTCTGTTTGAATTCTGAAGTCCCAGAGCAGTTTAATTTTATCATTTTCTATGACTTTCTCTATTTTATGATCCCACCAGTTTTTGCTTACAGGCAAATGATATTTTTTTGCAGATCTTCCAATGCACCATTGTTGCTACTTTGTCATGCCGCTGCTTGTAATCAGTCTGTGCAATCTTCTTGCAACAGCTTACCAAGTGGTCCACTGTTTCTTCAGCTTCTTTGCATAGGCGGCACTTACTGTCTGTTGCTGTCTTCTCAATTTTGACTTTGTATGCATTTGTCCTTAAGGCTTGGTCTTGTGCAGCCAGAATTAGTCCCTCGGTCTCTTTCTTCAATTTTCCTGCTCTTAGCCATTGCCAGGTTTTATTATTATCTGCTTTCCCAGCTATTTTTTTCATGTATTGGCCATGTAGTGCTTTGTCTTCCCATGCCTCTATTCTGTTCTTCATTTGGTCTTTCTTGTAGGCCAGTTTGGTCTCTCCAGTAGTTAGTAAGCCTTCCTAATATACTAATTTCAGTGCATCTTCATCATTGTTCTTCAGATATTCTTCCAAAGCCATTTTTTCTTCTTCAACCATCTGATGTACTTGTAGCATTCCACGCCCACCTATTTGCCTTGGTAGATAAAGTCTATCAATGTCACTGCGTGGATGAAGGGCATGATTCATTGTCATTATTTTTCTGGTCTGCCTATCCATTGCTTTTAGTTCTGCTTGAGTCCAGTCCACTATTCCAGCTGTGTACCTAATGACTGGGATTGCCCAGGTGTTGATTGCCTTTATGGTATTTCCTCCATTGAGTTTGGATTTTAAGATCTTCTTCACTCTCTTGATGTATTCACCTCTAATCTTTTTCTTGACTTCAGTGTGCTTGATGTTGTCAGCTTGAAGGATACCCAAGTATTTGTAGTACTCTTCCTCATCCAGACTCTTAATGTTATTTTCGTGGGGCATCTTGATTCCTTCAGTTTTCATTATTTTTCCTTGTTTGATAGTAAGTGTGGCGCATTTGTCCAAGCCAAACTCCATTACAATATCTTGGCTATATATACGGACAGTGTTGAGCAGCGATTCTATTTCAGATGCTGTTTTTCCATACAGCTTCAGATCATCCATATAAAGGAGGTGGGATAGTCTGGCAGATGTTTTTGATGTTTGATAGCCATGTCCTGAGTTGTTGTTGTTATTATTATTATTATTACTACTACTACCACTATTATTATTATTATTATTATTATTATTATTAAAATGTGTGCTCTTCTCCTTGAGCTGATGGTTTCCATTAAATACCCCGTTCAGGCATTTGTTTCTGTGGGCACACAGTTTGTGCAATTGTTGTCAAACATAAGGGAAAGAAGGAAAGCTGTCAGGGAAGAACCAGCCCTTGTTTTTACCTGCATGAGAGGCTAAATGTTGCATGCAGAGAATGTACTCGGGGTGATTAAAGCCCAGTTATTCTGTGTATGAAGTTTGCTAAGAATAATTTACTCTCTCGTTTCGGATTTTGAAACGAGAGAGGAGAGAAAGAATGGACAGTGCTTTCTAAGGCTGCATGCTTTTAGTCTCTCTGTGTGTGTTTGTGGTGTAAGGCTGAAAACTAGAAAGGGAAAGAAAGGAAGTAGAACATTTTCAATTGTGGTAAAAAGAACGAAAACTTTTTTTGGAAATAAATATGTGTTAGCTTATAGGAAATAGGGATTTTAAGTAGTATACTATCTTTTTACTTTATTCTGTTTATTATTCTCATTCTTCTTCCTTCTCTTTTTAGTCTTATTTATTCCTTAAGAAAGGTACAGGTATTGGGTTGGTTTACATGAGAAAAAAATAGACTTAAATATTTAAATGTAATTAACTCTGAGAAAATCTTAACCAGTAAAAATGTTTAGAATACTGTGGGAAAAACAAATGTAAACAAGAACTGTAAACAGGATATATGATGAGACAACCAGAATGACCAGATAGAAAAGGAATGCTATATTGTTGTGATTATTATTTGTAGAAATATTAGAAAACTTGTATACTTAATTATCATTTATTAAAGCAATAAGAATTGTATTAACTTAAGGTTGTTAAAAGAGAACACCATGGGGAAAAGAGGAAATCATGTAAAGTTATCATGTGGATTAGAGATTATAGAATTGAATTCTAATTGCTAATCCCAGACAATGCATTGTCTACCAAATATTAAGGTGATTGTGTTAAAAAATCAATAAAACATTTTTTTTTAAAAAAAGAACAGTGTTTCTCAACCATGGCCACTTGAAGATGTGAGGACTTCAACTCCCAGAATTCCTCAGCCAGCTATAAATTCTGGGAGTTGAAGTACACACACCTTCAAGCAGCCAAGGTTGAGAAACACTCAAGTAGAACATCTTTTTTTCCTTCAATCTTAATGTTTCTGGCTTGGATGCCGTATTTCTACTTGTGCGATTTTTGTGATGAATCATAATTATTTCTGTTTGGTCGCTATGACAGATTGTTCGGATGAGAGTTGTTCATTCTTCACTTCCCAGAATGGCATCATTTCAGAAGGGCCGCTTTGCCGTTACCCTTTTGGGGATTCATATTTGGAACTGATTCTGACAGTTGTTAAGCAACAATATCATAAGACAAAAGCCTGACCTGTAAGGATGAATATCTTGGCCAGGAAACACTACGTGAAATGCTTTCCACACTATATGTTCCTTGCCTTTGCGGTTCTGTGGTATATTACCCTGTAGCATGGTGCTTCTCCTTGGATAATACATTTATTTATCCATCAGTTAGTCAAATTCCACCTTACCTATCCCTATGCATGAATGTTTAGTTGATGCAGGTGCTGGCCTAGAAACTAGGAGTCTGTGAGTTCTAGTCCCACATTAGACATAAAAACTGACTAAGTGACTTTATTTATTTATTTATTTATTTATGAGACTTATATACCGCTTTAAGTACAAGCACTCTCTAAGCGGTGTACACCAGTAAGCAATGTATATATATATATTTACATTATCCCCAACAATCTGGGTCCTCATTTTACCTACCCTGGAAGGATGGAAGGCTGAGTCAACCTTGAGCCGGTGAGATTTGAACCGCTGACCTGCTGAACACAGTCAGCTAAAGTGGCCTGCAGTACTGCACTCTAACTGCTGCGCCACCTCGGCTCATTGACTTTGGGCCAATGATCAGGAGACTGTGAGTTCTAGTGTCACATTAGGCATAACAACTGACTGGATGACTTTGAGTCAATCATCGGCAGACTGAGAGTTCTAGTCCCATGTTAGACATGAAAATGGAATTTAGAACAGAACAGAACAGGACAGGACAGAGCTGGAAGGGACATTGGAGGTCTTCTAGACCAGCCCCCTGCTCAAGCAGGAGAACCTATACCATCTCAGACAGATGAGTGATCAGTCTTTTCTTAAAAACCTCCAGTGATGGAGCGCCCACTATTTCTGAAGGTAAAGTTGTTCCACTGGTTGATTGTTCTCACTGTCAGGAAGTTTCTCCTTAGTTCCAGGTTGCTTCTGTCTTTGATCAGTTTCAAACTATTGTTTCTCGTCCTTCCCTCTGGTGCTTTGGTGAACAACCTGACCCCCTCTTCTTTGTGGCAGCCCCTCAGATACTGGAACACTGCTATCATGTCTCTCCTATTTCTTCTTTTCTTTGGGCTAGCCAAACCCAAGGTGACTTTGCGCCAATGATCAGGAGACTGTGACTTCTAGTCCCACGTTAGACATGACTGGGTGACTTTGAGTCAATCATCGGCAGACTGAGAGTTCTAATCCCACGTTAGACATGGAAACTGACTGGGTGACTTTGGGCCAATGATCAGGAGACTGTGAGTTCTAGTCCCATCTTAGGCATGAAAGCCGGGAAGTGATTTTGGGCCAGTCATTCTCTTTCAGCCCAGTCCTCCTCAGAAACT